AATTGACCCAATAAACAGTGCACTTTGTCAGATTTTCTAGTGCTTTTCTAGATGGAATTGAGTCCAATGAATATTTTTCTCTATATAAAACTTAGTAAGCTTCGTGTGAAAATTAGAACTACTTCCTTTCAATATTTCTAGAATTAGTTATGAATTTTCAAAGTTAGCCTACTTTCGGATGAACAGTGTACGGACAGAATTAAAGGTAAAATTTTAAAGTTGAAAATTTTCATCTGGAAATACTGTGAAACATGTTATAATAGTTCCAATTGACGTATAATGGGATATGAAAGGAGGTGTGACACTTTTTGATATCAAAGCAAAGGTTCTGAATTTGTTTTAATTGCACTGATCTGATTGTTTTGCATTTTGAATTGTGTAATGATTGTGAAGTGTTTGATAGTAGCGCTGTTCTAACTGTTATTATTAAACAATGATTGTGGTTGTTTGATTGAATGCTTTTAGTCAGGATTATACCTTGTGGTGGAATGGTGTATTATAGATTAAGTTGAGTGTAGGGAGTTATGGCCTACTGTAGTGATGACTCTGGGGAAACGGTAAACCAGAGGATACCAGGGGAATCGTACCCAGACTAGTACCACCTACATGTTTCTGACCCCGATGATCCGACTCTACCACTGAGATATTACCAGCCTCTTTGGAGATAGAGGACATATATCCAGAGGAGGACTCCAATGACCTAATCAGGTTAGAAAGGGGTGATGCTCAGAGCACTATAAGATCTTAGCCATATCCTGACGAGGTGGGTCCCAGTGCCATCAGGGCAGTGCCTATTTGAACTGTGAAGCTGGAACAGACCAAGGCCATAGATTTGCCAATTAAGAAGAGACCTTTGTTAGTAAAGAAGATATTTAAAGATCATAACAGTCTCTTCTAGGAATTCGTTGAACTTGATAGACACATAGATCCGATTTAGAATCAGTACATTACGGTCTACCAGGACTACTTCTGTTAGTTGAGATTACTGCATAGTGAAGTAGTAAAGGAAGGTCAGTATGTAGGTGACACCTTATAGTACCAGGTGTTACTAGAGATATTACCTACCACCTGAGTTTGGCAGACACAAATTTGACAGCTCTGCAAATCCTCTATGCCCAGTGATTTTGATCAGCTGCTAGACGACCTCGAACTTTCTATAGTTACCTTGTTTCCCTCTTCCTTTGCTAGGTTGTAAATATAGGATGACTGCATACTATATTAACTGTGGTGGGCTGTGACCTTATTTTTGCTAATTGTGCTGTTGCATATAAGCTGAAAAGGTAATACAAATAGTATTTATGTAAATTGATGATTCTGTTCCTCTTGTAGTTGAGATGAAAACAACAAAATGGTAAGAGGAAGATGAGGATCAAGAGGTAGAGACCCGGTACAAGGGGAGAGTCATCAAGACCCCCTGTTGATCTAATTGAGTGGATAATGGAAAGGTTAGAGGAACAGCAAAGGAATATGGCTGAGATACAAGCCACACAAGTTAGGCAGGAACAAGAGAGGGATGCTGCTATAGCTACAGCGGTAGTGGCAACACTGGCACGGTTACAGCAATCCAGGCAAGGAATAACCAGGACAGCCTAGCCCATACCACCATAGCAACCACAGGAAACTACTCTTGTGAGACCCCAACCTGCTGCAGAAGCTGATACGCTATAGCAGTGGATTGTCAAGTTCAGTAAACACAGCCCTCCTGCTTTTGAGGGAACCTTTGATGTGCAAATAACCGAGTACTGGATAACCTGACTAGAGAAGATCTTTGCTATTTTGGAATGCCCATTTGAGAGGAAGGCTCAGATGGCAATATATAAGGTAGAAGGGGAAGCAAATAGATGGTAGAAGAACACTAAGTTGGTCCTCCAGGCCAATGAAACCACTGTTACATGGGAAGTATTTAAGGACTAGTTTTTCCTGAAATATTTTTCCTAATTTGTAAGGGACGTGAAAGAAACAGAGTTCCTCACCATAAGGCAAGCAGCGAATGAACCTTTCGATGAGTACTTGGCAAGGTACATTAAGTTATCCAGGTACTCTACTTATCTCCAACACATGAATGATGAACTCTGGTTCATAGAGAAGATGATTAGGGGGCTGAAACCTTGTTGAGAGAGAAGGTGGCCTTGAGACAGTTGGAAGTTTTCAATAAGGTAGTAGAAGTCTATCGTATTATTGAGAATAGCCAGAATCATGCTGAGCTAGCTAGAGCAACCCTGCGAGCTGAGAAGCTAGGGGCAAGAGCAGGTCAGGAAGGTACTTCTTTTTTATGGTAGCCGGAAGAGAATGAGATTTAATTGGAGTAGGAAGTCGAGGCGGGGAGCCCGATGAGGAGGTGTAGATAATGTTTGTCGGGGAGCAGAGAATGTTCGCTAAGAAAAGGAATGCGAGCATTGTGGCTGCAATCATGAAGATAGGCCGTGCATGATAGGTCAGAGCATGTGCTTCAGGTGCGGACGACCCTGACACTTTGTTAGGGAGTGCTCGCAAGGTGCCAACAGCGCAAGAAGACCTTAAGCATAGGGCAGGGTGTTCACTCTCAGTCAGGAAGAGGCTCGTAAGTCACCCGAGATAATCCAAGTTACGGTTACTGTGAATGGCTACCTTATGGATACTTTGTTTAACTTAGGTGCCAGTCACTCGTTTATATTATATGATTACGCTAGGTGCTTAGGTCTTACTGTAGACACCTTGCTGTATGACTTGTGTGTTTCTACTCCCACCAGGACAAAAATTTTAACTTATGCTATTTGTTTAAATTGCATTGTCTGGTATGCCCACAATTGCACTATGTTAGACCTGATATGCATGCCTTTCTGTGATATTGATGTTATCCTTGGTTTGAATTGGTTGTCCTCCCAAAATGTTCTCCTTGACTGTAAGAACAAAACATTGATCCTTCCTACCTAGAAGTTAACCCCTACGGTAGAAGTAAAGTTGAACATGATTTCAACGGCTCGAGCAAATAAATGGTTAAGGGAAGATTACCAAGGTTATATGGTATTCTTCTTAGTAAAGGTAGAAATAGAAGAAGGGATTTTGGATATCCCAGTGGTCTGGGAATTCCCTGAGGTATTTCTAATGGAGATTAGCGAATTACCCCCTGAAAGGAAAAATAAATTTTCTATTGATCTAGTGCCCGGAACGAACCCAATTTCAAAGGCTCCGTATCAGATGGCTCCTAATGAGATGGCAGAATTGAAGAAGCAACTAGAGGAGTTGTTGGAGAAAGGGTTTATATGCCCCAGTGTATTTCTGTGGGGTGTACCGATATTGTTCGTGAAGAAGAAGGACGGTACCTTGAGACCATGTATAGACTACCATGAGTTGAATAAAGTAATGGTTAAGAACAAGTACTCGTTACCACTGCTCAACAATTTGCTAGATCAGTTGGCAGGAGACACTGTATTCTTAAAGATCGATTTGAGATCGGGATAACATTAATTAAGGATTAAGGTAGAAGATATCCCGAAGACTACCTTTTAAACAAGGTATGGGCATTACAAGTTTCTGGTAATGCCATCTAGTTTGACGAATGCACTTGCTATATTCATAAACTACATGAATATGATCTTTCAGTGATATTTGGATCAATTTGCAGTGGTATTCATTGATGATGTCCTGGTGTATTCTAAATCACCAGAGGAACATGAATGGCATTTGTGGATTGTTTTAGGCATGTTGCAAGAAAAGCAATTGTATGCTAAGTTAAGCAAATGTGAATTCTGGCTAAGTGAGATAAAATTCTTGGGTCACGTAATTATTCGAGGCAGAGTAGCAGTGGACCCAAGTAAGGTAGAGGTCATATTGAATTGGGAACAGCCCAAGACGATGCAAGTGGCATCGTTGATGATAAAAGAACAAGAGTTGATCGAGAATATCTGAGATTGGGATCTCACCGGCCAGTACAGCTGATGGTGGGCCAGATTAGTATTGCAAAAGCATAAGCATAGATCATTGAACAGATCAAGAAGGCCCAACAAAGATATCAACTGGCTGATATTTTAAAAGCCAAAGTGTTAAGAAATGAGACGAGGGACTTCGAGATAACTCAAGAAGGGATCCTAAAATACAAAGGAAGAATTCATATTCCCCCGAACTTAGAAGTTAAGGGGCAAATCTTGGAGGAGGCACACAAGAGTTGGTATATCATACATCCAAGCATGACCAAGATGTATTGGGATCTTAAAGAATCATTCTGGTGGCCTAGCATAAAGAAAGATGTGACAGACTATGTGTCAAAGTGCCTCACTTGTCAAAAAGTAAAGACAGAGCACCCAAAGCCGTCAGGATCCTTGCAACCATTGAGTATTCCAGAATGGAAACAGGAAAGCATTTCCATGAACTTTGTGATAGGACTACCTCGTATATCGTCAGGTTATGACGAGATACGGGTGATTGTAGATCGCCTGACAAAGTTAGCTCATTTCTTAGCCATCAAGAAAGAATACCAACTGGAAAAGTTAGCACGGATATACATCCGAGAAATTGTGAGGTTGCACAGAGTACCTGAGACGATTGTCTCTAATGGGGACCCAAGATTTCTCTTTAGATTTTGGAGAGCGTTATAGAAAGCCATGGACACTAAGCTAAGTTTTAGTATAGCTTATCATCCTTAAACTGACAGGTAGACAGAACATACAATTCAAATATTGGAGGATATGCTAAGAGCTTGTGTCCTAGATTTCAAAGGGAACTGGGATGAATACTTACTACTGGCAGAGTTTGCCTATAACAATAGTTATCATTCTAGTTTCCAAATAGCTCCTTATGAAGCTTTGCATGGGAGGAAATGTAGATCCCCGTTGTGTTGGACTGAATTGGGTGAAACGAAGACATTTGGTCTCGACTTGGTAGAGCAAACCTCACAGCAGATAAAGATGATCTGACAGAGGTTGCTTACGGTGCAAAGTAGACAGAAGAGTTACGCTGACGTACAGAAAAGGCCTTTAGAGTTTGAAGCTGGAGATCATGTTTTTTTGAAAGTTTCTCCAACTATGGGCGTAGGAAGATCGATTAAGGCCTGTAAATTGATGCTAAAGTTTATTAGACCCTTCCAGATCTTATCAAGAGTTGGCCTAGTAGCTTACAGATTGGCCTTACCTCCTAATCTGAGCCAAATTCATGATGTCTTCCATGTTTCTCAGTTGAAGAAATATCAGCCAGATCCCTCATATGTTTTGAAATATGATGACATAGAGCTGCAAGATAACCTCACTTTTGAGGTGAAACCAGTGAAGGTGATAGATCAACAGATTAAGCAGCTACGGAATAAGACTATTCCTATTGTAAAAGTTATTTGGAGGGATCTAACTCAAGAAGAGGCTATATGGGAAAAAGAGAACAACATAAAGGCCAGATACTCATAATTGTTTAATTAAGATATGTTTTTTAATTTCGAGGACGAAATTTATTTAAGGGGGGAGGAATTGTCACATCCCAGAAATTTTCACCTGGCTATAAGGAATCAAAAATTGGGATAAGAGTCAATGTAGGAACTAGATGGGGAGATGAAACAACTTTTGATATGAAACCCTAAAAAAGTCCGAACCGGCATTTTCATAATCCTCGGTCTAAGAAGGGCAAAATGGGAAAATTTGAGAAAAATTCTAAAAAATTTCCAAAAAATAGGAAAAGTGTAGATTAGAAGTTTTGGAAACTTGGTTGAGGCCCAAAAGGTGAAATTTCAGTGAAAGAAAAATTATTACGGAAAATAATTATTTGAAGTAGTTGGAGGCCTCAATAAATCTGGGAGAAAGATGGATAACTTATATAAATATTTATTTGAATTTATAAAATTGGTTCTAGGACATGGAAGCTTAGGAATTAATTTTAGAGAATTAATTTCCCCCTCAGATTTACCAATAAAGGCCTAATTGGAGAAAATTCAAAATAAATAGCTAGAGGTGGCAAAAAATTCTGAAACTTTGTAGATCATATTCTCATATTAAAAGGTGAATTATCATGAACACAAATGAATTTTTGGAGGTCTGAAAAAATTATGGAAGGTTACTAGTAAATAGTAACTGATAAAGTTTCAAATTAGTTTGAGATAGTGATTTGGTTTGTTGGCCATCTTATTGGACCAGCCCACCTTTTGTGGGGCTCACATTGAGTCCAATAAGGACCTAATTTTGTGTAGTTTTCAGGTCCCTCTATTTTTAATTAAATAAATGCAAAATTAAGGGATATTTGTGTGGAAAAATCTAGAGAAAAGCCACTTGTTCAAATCTGAAGTTAAGTGACACTTGATGGCTACTGACACACCCTCTTATCTCTAATTTTGGGTGTGCTAATTAGGGGGAAAATGGCAAGTTATTTGGTCTATAAATACCCCTTAGGAAATACAAATAAATGTTGGAAAAGTTGGAAAAATAAGGGGAGACTCTGTCACTGTAGCTCCAGCCTTGCTTCTTCAAAATTCTTGAGTGTTATAGGCAAGAAATCATCCAACTTACAACAAGGAAACATTAAGGTATGTCTAAGCATCATTATCCTTAAGTTTTATATTGATTGGATTAGGATTTTGGCTTGAAAAATTATGGAAAAATGCTGTAAATTTTAGTCCAGCCATATGATGCCTAGGAAAGGATAGAAACCTTAATAATCAAGTGGAATAAGGAAGATTAAGTGGTGTATGGATTGATTTTCGATGAAATCATAGTTAGGGTTTAAGGGGAGGAATTTCGGTCAGCACTGTTCATACAAGAGCTGATTGTTTTGGCTTGATTTGATGATTCCAATGGCTTTAAAACATGTTTTGTGTAGGGTATGATATTGGGAAGTGTTTAAAATCATTGGAATCAAAAATAGAATTTTTGGAGATATACAAACCCCCTATTCAGCCTGTCACTGTTCATGGGGGAGGAGTTTAAAGTTCAAAATATGATTGCACCGTTGGATTCCTCATGGAAAATTGTATAGAAATGGGTCATGAGGTTATTGATTCTAAAGAAGGAATCATTTTGTTAAAAATCAAAGAAAAAAGGGGGGAAATTGTTAAGTTGAAGTTAAAGTGTTGTAATTAAGTTGTTTAGTGGTTAATGTACCTATGTTTATGCTTGGGTTAATAGGTATTGTGAGGAGGAACCAAGAGGAAGCTTTGTTCTTGGAGTAACCAATTGGACAAGTATTAAAAAGGTAGCTTTGAATTATAATTTGATTGTTAATCTTGCTTGTTTTATGTGATTTGTTATTTACTTGAATGGAGGAACTTGTGTTGTGACAAGGATCAATTGAATGATATTGGTTTATGCTTTGGCCAAATGCATTGAATTATGCCATTGTGGAAGTGTTGATGTTCCTCTTTTAGCATGGCATTAAGCATGATTTTATGTGGTTGATTATGCCTTGAGGTATGATAACATGTCACATGATAACTTGCTTGATTTGTATGATAATTGTCATTTAAATGCCACTGAGATTTCCATGAAATCTCATTCCCTCTATGTTAAATTATGTCTCAAATAGGGAATAGCTCAACCTTGGAGCAAGGAAAGGAGTTGATCTTGGGATAAAGGAGTTTTATGAACATTGTATTATGGTGAATTGTTATGCAATGTGTAATAAGCCTTATGTTATGGTTGTATCTAGATATGGATGATGTTATGACATGTATTATACTTTACCCTCATGCCCTAGTATTGGAATTATGCATGGTACATTAAGAAAAGAATGTGGAAAAAGAAAAGGGGAAATAAATTAAAGAAAGAGGCAAGTAGGGGATAGAAATTCCCTAAATAGTGCCAAACTTTTGGCACGTGAAATAATAAGCAATAGTTGGAATTTGCCCATAAAATTTTATAGGCTTATAAATCTCATTTTAAGCTTTAAATGAAGTGGTAAACCATCAAAATCAGAGTTTTTTGCTAAGTGTTATGCCCTTCCAAATTTGGGCAAAAATACTGGAAATTCGAAAATTGACCAAATGAATAGTATATTTTGTTGAATTTTTTGGTGCTTTTCTGGATATAATTGAGTCCAATAAATATTTTTCCTCTATAGAACTCTTAGCGAAATTCGTGTGAAAATTAGAATCACCTCGTTTTGATTTTTCTAGAATTAGTTATGAATTTTCAAATTTGACCCATTTTCAGATGAACAGTGTACGGACAGAATTAAATGTAAAATTTTAAAGTTGAAAAGTTTCATCCGGAAACACTGCGAAACACATTATAATGGTTCCAATTGATGTATAATGTGATATGAAAGGAGTTGTGACCAAAAAAATCTGATAAATCTACGGCTTAAAGAGATTACAACATAGTTGCAACAATATACAGGTCATAGGTAAAGAAAGCTAGTATAAATTGTTTATTCCCCGATATAGTTTTAAAAGCAAGAATATAACACTAATTACAAACTACTCCTATTTATATATTTAATGTCACATTGAATCCTACAGTGATTAAAGTAGTAATAGCATCTCATATAATTTCACTTGGAAGGAAGCACATGATTATCAAAGTACCAACATGAGATGGTTGCAACTTTAATAGTGTCACATCCCGCAAATTTTAACCCTGGGAAAGTGAATAATACATTAGATAGAAGATCAAGTAGTAAAGTAGATTTAGAGGCAAAACAACTTTTGAATTGAAATCCGACTCTTGTTCAGACTGATATTTTTGAAATTATTAGTCCAAGAAGGGCACAATGGGAAAATTAGAGAAAATTTCTAGAAAATTTCTAAAAAATAGTAAAAAGATAAATTAGAGGTTTTGAAACCTCATTTGAGGCCTTGCAAGTGGAAATGACATAAAAATAATTTATTACAGAATTTTTTGTAAGCAGAGGTTTTTCAGAAAAAATAGTGAAAAATTAGCTCGAAACAATTATTTTAAATATGTAGAAGCTTCAATAATTTAGGAAAAAATATAAAAAAAATATTCAAGATTTATTTGAGTTTGTAAAATTATTTCCAAGACTTGAAAGTGAGAGGATTAATTTTAGAATATTTATTATTGAAATCTTATCAATAAAGCCTGATTTCGGAGAAAATTCAAAATAAATAATTAGAGATTAAGATAAATTCTAGAAACATTTAGGGTACTTTTCTATCTTAAAATATGATTTTTCATGGGTAGAAATGAATTTTTGGAAGTCCAAAAATATTATTAGAAATTAGACAAGAAATTTAGCCCTTCTTTCTTTAGCCCATTAGACTTGATTTTGGGCCAGGAATGAACAGTAATTTTGTGGTCCAAGTGGTGCACATAGTTATGGAATAAAATAATACAAAATATCATATGATTTTATCAAAAACATTATCTCTTAAGGGATACTTGTACACTCCTATATTTCTACAGCATTTTAAGGTGTCTACATGTCCCAAAAACTCTTGATTTTTAAGGGATACTTGGAAGGAAGAGGAGGCCAAGTTGAAGTCTATAAGTGTCCCCTTTTACACCTTAAATTTAAGTTATTTTGGCACTTTAAAGGGGGAGGTTTTGCTATAGAACAAGATGGTTTTTGGGAGCCAAGAACATGCAAATTTATGCCAAAAATTATCAGGCAAAAATCAAGGATTAATCAAGGTATGTTCAAGTTTTAATTTGGCTATGTTTCTTGCTTGTTTCAAGTGGAATTGGATGAAAAAATTCTAAGGTTTCATGCTGCCAAAACTTCGGTTGATATGAGAAAGTATCAGGGAAGGATAGAAACTATGATTTAGAGCTTGGAATAGCTTGCCTGGTTGATGTTTGGATTGATTTTTGAAAGAAACTCCAAGTTTCCCAAATTCTGTGATAATTCAACCACTTCAAGTTCATGGGGTTAGAGATCGTTTTAGTTTAATTTAATGATTCTAATGAGTTTAGAATATGTTTTTGTGTAGGAATATGGCAAGAAAAAGTGTTTGAAAGCATTGGAATAAAAAAAATGAAAACTCTAAACATAAACTACCTTCAATTCGGCCATTGCTTGTTTTTTATGTTAGAAATTATTTCAATGTGATTTGATGATTTTAGTGAGTCTAAAAGGTGTCTTTATGTAGAGAAACACCAAAGAAAATTGTTTAGAATTATTAGAATAAAAAATAAAAATTTTGGATTCCAAAAGCATACTATTCGGCCAACTCAAATTGAAAGGGAAGGAGTGTGATTTTGATAAAACCAAGTTGATAATTAGATTCTATATGAAAAATTGTGTAGCAATGATTCAAGAGATTGATTGAAATGAAGATGAAAATTAAAATCAAAAAGTAAAAAAAAAAAGAAGGAGGGTTATAGAATTTTATGTGTATGTATTACGGTGGATAATGTGGCATGTATTTATGCGTGGATTGATAGGCATTGAGCAAGAGAACAAGGAGGAACAACAAGGAATCAAAGAGGCCAAAAATCTTGAGATAAAAAGAGGTAGCATAGAA